CATCATTAGGCAGGAATCTGAGCGTCGACTTCCGAAAGTAACTTTTACACCATAGGGAAGATAGCAGTATGGGGTCTCTAAAATATATCTCTCTGTGGACAACATCGTGGGTCGCGGCTCAGGGGTTGAAAGGAGGTCGGGGGGTGACTTCATGTTCCGAAGATAGGGCCAGGACTGAAATCGTTGAGAGACTTATGGCCAACATTACGCCACTTTACGACGTGTCTCGTCAATATTGGGTCTCTCGGGTGAAAGGGGTGGGCGACTCACCATCCTGAAGGGACACAGGGTAAGAATTTAGGGATAGATGATCATCCACCGTTGGCTCATCGTCAGTTTTATCTAAATTGAGGCTTTAACTCCCTCACCTTAAATTGTGATGGAATTGCAAGGAGCACGAGGCTCAAAACGCACGGTTCTAAATAATATAATTTTGTTTCCATGTAGAAGATGAGTCAAGTAGTTGATCTGTTGATCCTTTGATCGAGTCAATATTTAAGGGGTTTGGAGGACAAGGCGCATAAGTGCAGTTTTTTTTTATGAGAATTGAGATAATAATGATTTGGACGTATTTCTGCCAAACGAAACTGTGCATTATGACATGAGCCCTGAGACCCATGAGAATATATGCATAACAGGGCTTAAGTCATAACTATATTGTTGCATATTGCACTTGTAAAATTTTATCGGCACTACACACCTGAAGATGGGCGGCCTGACCACCCGAAATGGCCATCGTGAATCTATACTAATAAAGCAGACTTCACGTTGATTGACTCACTCACTGACTCACGTATCAGCGGATCTCGTGAACGGGAGGCCGTGTGACCCTGAGATTCCGCACTGGGATCCCTCTCTACCCCGAGGCGCCGGATAAGGGAGGATTTCGCGATCCGCCCGCCGGTTCGCGGGATATCGCGGTCCGCGCGGGTCGATTTTCCCGTAAGGACAACGGGTGCGAGAGAGAGTGCGAGCGAGATGGAGCGATTTCCGCGTCCCGCGCTGGAAGACAGCTGATAAATTTTACGTGTCTTCTTCTGGTGCGCGCAACGGGTGCGAGGAAGATGGAAGGAGTTCGGCGTCCAACGAGTGCGAGGAAGATGGAACGAGTTCTGCGTCGCGCTGTTGGAAACGCCGCGCCATGATTTTTGCGAGCTCCGACTCGTGCCTCCGGTTGCCGGGCTACCCTCTCAGAGATGTGAAAATCTGGAAAATCTGTCTGTTCATTGGCATAGAATAAAGAGACTGACGTAGTCTTTTTATTCTATGGCATTGGTCTCCTCTGCGCACATTGCCGCTTGCTAGATTGAAGGCGTTCTATACTGTGCTGACGGCTCGGTCACACTGCGCCTGTAGTCGCGGTGCTGACAGCGACAGCGGAGCAAACAGAACATCGCTCCGACATTCTTCACCTGCTTGAAATGAAGCGAGAAACTATTTGAACTCCGGAGTGGGTATGTGGTATCATACAAAATTGAAGGAAAATCATACGTTTTCGCCCATCCCAAGCAACAGATGTTTATGAGTTTTATGCGCACATTTACGTAGTCTTAATTGAGTCAGAAATTCGCGTGTATGCCACGATATTGATGTGAATAACTCGCAATTAATTATAATGATCTTAGAAATTCGCTAGGAACACGACGTATTTGCCGTGATATCGTGTAATTTCTAATTTGTTTTACAAAATCCCTGGAAAAATCAAGTTTTCTCCGCGATGTAGATGACAAACCCGCCATTGCTGAGAATTAAACGAAACCGCTGGTTAAATCCCGTAATTTTCGCGGCTGAAACTCACCAGCTAACTTCAATTAAACATTGAACTGACAAAAGTATCAAATCTTTATGAAAATGACCAACTTTTGATTGGGTATTTTTGATTATTACAATTATCATATGAGCTTACTGAAGAACAGACCAAAATAGCAGCATACTACTAATTTCTACTTTTTTATCAAACCAGTGTGTCTCGCCAATTTTGAAATAGTAGACGATAATTCAGAAACACAATTAGTAACTGATCACTAATCACAGTGATTGCTGATGGTGGGGTTTTCCTGTGCGTAGCACGGGTTTCCTGCTAGTAGTAAATAAGTAAGTAATCGGTTTTGCCAAAAAAAGTTTTAAGTCTATATAATTAAGTCATAATGCACATGGTTCCGTTTGACAGAGACACGTCCATTTGGTCTGTGGTCCGGGCAATATTCGCAAGTTGAGGTCAACCCCACATCTTAAAGATTCAATTTTCGCGTTCTCTTGAGAAAATGCGTACGTCGGCAAGGTCCCTTTTGACGGAAAATGCCTCAATTCGCGACGTGACCGCAATGCCCCTCCAGTTTGACGATCGGCTCAAGGTTACAGCGTATTTGTCTGTGCTGTGGGTGGTTGGTGTGGATATTGAGATAAATTTGGCCTTATCGAGTGCATCTGTAGACGAAAGTGCCGGCAGGTCGATTCTTGAATCGTTATCGAATGACCTGGATCGATAACTCCCTATCTTAACAATGCTGTGTATCGATCGAGGTCATTCGATATCGATTCGACAATTGAGCTGCGGGCGGGTTGTTTGCCATCGGGACGCGAGTGACGCGAGGCGGGAGCAATAAAAACTGTCAGCAAGGTGCTTGGACCCGACGCCGGTTTGCGCCCCCGCTGGCCATCGCGTCGCCCTGGGCCCCAGGGGTGCTCATCCATCCCTAGCACTCCGCCCCGCACCCGCGCTCGCGCAAGTGGCAGGAAGTCGCATCCCTTCACCTGCGCACGCGTCCGTAGCACGTGGCCGAGATATCTGCCCCTGATTCCAGCATGGATTCAAGGCTGTATTCATACGTCGTCACCTTTCGGTCAAAGTATCACAAGCGCCATGCGACGCCTAAACATTCCCGCCGCTATTTCGTTTTTTTTTCCAGAGAAATTGTTGTTTGAATCCGTTCGAAAATGTCACTGAAATTTCTTTTTGCTGCCGATAAAATTCAGTGAAATTTTTGAACAGATTCAGCCAACAATTTCTGTGTGAAAAAAGAAAATGGCTGTGGAAATTTGTAAACGTCGCATGGCGCTTGTGATACTTTGGCCGGAAGGTGACGACGTGCCCCTTGAACACCTCCTGACCGCGTAGCTGGGGAAGCCCCCATATAACAGTTCACATTTTGAACAGGGGAGGTAGCAGGACACCCTAAGGGTAGAATTAAATAGGACGGTTTTGATGAAACTTTAGTACACTAGAAAAAGTCTCTTGAATCCAGAGTCTGGACTCTTAAAAATTTGATTAGAAAAAATACTCTTGATTCAATCGGATTTTTGCTTGAATCAAAAGGAATTACGCTAAAATTAAGAGGTATATCTCTCGGTTCAAGCGAAAATCCGATTGAATCAGGAGTATTTTTTCTCGTTAAACTTTCCAAGGGTCTACGATCCTAGGGTTCAAGGAATTTTTTTCAGTGTGAGAGTTAAGAGTTAAAATTCATAAAACACAAAGTAAAAAACCTATAATTTTGACGAACTTTAAGGTTGGTACACACCTACCCTAAAATGTTCAAAATTATTGATTTTGCCTTTGTGTTTCTGTAATATTTCACAGTGGAAAGTTTTACTTCTTCTTCATTTTGTATCGGGGCCTCCTGAGGGAAGGAGCTGTTTAAGGAATGACTGTGAATTCGGTACATCCCCGTTTTCCTTGAGATACTATTTGAGTTGGACTCTAGAATTTAAAAAGTTTAAGGCGGTCTTCAATTAAAATCAAAGGCATTTATTTCTCACGAAAATTTACGTTCTAGCACTCCACATCCGTTTCAATAAAGGCCAATTACACTCGACCATAAGATAAAAAAAACTTCTGTCCAAAAAAATTCGAATTTGGAAAATTCATGCTTAAGTCTGGAAAAGTATTATGCGAACATTTTGGCCTTGAAAACGCAAAATAATTTCAAACCAAACTGGAGAAATGGCGTTTTGAAATTCAAAGGCAAAAAAAGGAGTTTCGAGTGAGAGCTCTTCGAAGTTCTATTCAAGCATGTTCAACAGCCGGCAAATCCGTATTTAACCTGTTGACTGCATACTTTTTTCGGATATAAGATTCGGAGAATAGCTTAAGCTTCGCATGCACACAATCTGGACCACACGTAATTTGTGGTGTGATGCGTGTCGCGTGCAGTGCCGAATCAAGCTGCGGGTTTTTGTGTAGGAAATTTCTTTTGTAGCGTACTTGGATGACATCCAACGGGTGTTGTAGAACGGCACGCGAGACAGCTCGTCATCAGACCTCTCGTGATTTCGACGGTTTAGACGTAATTGGGAGTTTTTCGAATCCAACATCTCTTTCTGTGTAAACTTTGAAACCACGATAGTGCAATCGATTTTAATTGAAGACATTTATTTCCAACAAATCAGCTAAATTTTTTTTTGGGTGGGGGAAAGGGCAATTTATTCGGCTTCTATTCCTTTATTATTAGCCTAGGAATCTACAGCCACCTATAGAAATGTGTGAATGACATTTCGGAGTTAACACGTCCATGTCCAACAGGAATTATCTGGCTGTTCAAATGTGTAGGGATTAAGGCCAAGTAGAATCTGTTTCTGCAGTTCCACTGCACTGCCGCGCTAAGGAAGAACGCCGTATGAACATTCGAGAATTGTCAAATTTCCCCGAGTAAAACATGTGTTTTTGAAGAAAGTTATCCGATATATTTTTCCTTGACATTTCCCGATATTTTAGATTAAATTGGGAGCAAAATTGTCCGAAAAATTGGAAGAAAAATATTCAGAATTTGCCCAGTAATATTGTTGGTCATTAAAGGAAATATGGCAACGCCTGAGGGCTCATACGGCGCTTTTCCTTAGCACGGCAGTGCATTTCAGTGCAAATTTGACGCCACTACCGGGATTTGAACCCAGGTCCTATTGACCAAAAGTCAGACGCGCTGACCACAAGGCCACAACTTGGCCGGCTTAAATTGATTTTCTAGTGATGAAATGAGAAATGAAAGTAGAAATCAACTCACCTGGGCCGGTGATACAGGGATGCAGAGAATCTACCATACTTTGAACCATGGTCGAAGCAGCTCATAGAACACCAGTAGCAGAATAGCTGGCGACTCTGATTCTGGACGCTAGCAATTTTCGTTGTCTACGTCCGTTTCTACCGTGGCGTCTCCTAGAGATCTTTGTCCGAAAAGATACCTCCGTGGCCACATCATCGATTCAGTCCATTTTCCGCCACGCTGCCCCCTCCGCCCGCTGCAACAGACACAACTCAAAGTAATAAAGAGGACAAAATGAACACAAGTAAAAGTTCAAACACAACATTTTGAAGGGTAACGGTGACAATGAGAATAAAATTGGTTGGTAAAAAAACTTCTCTTGTCTTCAAGTCGTGTTATGGCGATTTTAAAGTCTAGCAGGAAATCAGTTTTTTTGAGCTCTGCCTGACCGCGTCCAGTACCGGGGAGATGACACTGTGGCCAGAGATAGATCGGAAATGTTCACCAATGGAAAATTTATATCGTCACCTTCCAGCCAAAGTATCACAAGCGCCATGCGACGTTTGAAAATTTCCGCCGCCACCGCCATTTTATTTTTTTACAGAAAAAGTGTTGGTCGAGTTAATTTTTTTTACAAGAGAACGTTTGTGCGGATTTTTTTGAAAATTTCTATGAATTTGCTTCGCACTATGCAGGAAATCCACTGAAATATGCACAAAATATCCGCACAACCATTTTCCGGTAAAAAATTAAATTGCCCGCTCAAATTTGGCAATAGCTTATGTGGCATGGTTCCTTTTTGCACGACGCTGTCTAATTCTGTTGTGCTGAGGAAAAACGTCGTATGAACATTCGTGGGTTGCCAAATTTTCGTTAATGTAATTTTTTATTTTGACGAAATTTAACCATATTTCTCCTTAAAATTTTCAGATATTTTAGCTTAAATTGCGTACAAAATTGTGTGAAAATCTTGACAAAAATATTCAAAATTTTTGCATGAAATTCTGTTTTTATCGAAGGAAATTTGCCAACATCCGAAGGCTCGTACGGCGTTCTTCATTAGCACGGCATAATTCAGATATTACTGTATTTTTTTCCTACTATTGATCGTGGAAACGAAAACAACTCACCCGTTCAAAGCGGCACCGTTTACCTCTACGATACGAAAGGAGGCTGAGTTGTGTGCACAGCAAGGGCGGGAGGGGAGGGAGGGTGCAGGAAACCAAATAAAGGAGCAGGGGGGTCTAGAAATGGGAGAAAGGGGTTGGGGGCACAAGTATCCCGGGCCGCGCGGGGAAGCGAGGGGGTTTTTCGAGCACGATAAGAGGACGAACTTTCGCGGCTAAGTCTCCCCCTGCCCGCCCACGAAAGTTGGGAACTTTGAAGAACCTCGGAGGGTTGGAGTCTGAGTAGGCGTGACTGATTCGTTTCATTCGGGGTGCTGGATTGGAAGGAGCTTTGGCGGCGTTTCCACTCCGTGCGGAAATTCCCGATTCCACCGTGAGGATAGTTGGAATTTATGCAGGAGAATCCGCAACGCCGGATTCGGTCTTTGGCGACCCGCAATCTTGAGTCAACTTGAATCGGGTCTTGGGTCTTGCGTCTGCATCTCTGGAGTTAACTTTTCCCCGGCTCCATCGGCGCTGCGGTAGAGTGAAAGAGGAAGGGGGGGGGGCTGTTCTGTGTGCACTGAAGTTTGGTCCCCTTATAACATACTGCAGACGTTGTAGCGAAAGGGTTTGAGCACTGGTCTATCAACGATTCTTAAGTTTTCGGCAAAGATAAGACGAATATCGACGGTGAAACTACCAAACCACGTATCTCGTTTGCGGTGNCTTCCTTAGCAGGGCAGAATTCGTCGTTCCTCTCACGAATGAACTCCATCAAATGTTGCCAAATTTCCCCTCGTGAATTGCCTAGTAATCAAGAGAATCTTGGGCATTTCTAACTGAAATTTCTACTGATTTTCCTCTAGATTCCATGCAAAAATCAGACAAATTTTGAATAAAAATTGCTCAGGTACATTTATGTAAAATTTAATGATTGTTTGAGTCAGTTTGGCAACCTTTGAATGGAGTTACGTTCCTTCGTGCGGGGAACGACGAATTAAGACACTGTATTTTTTTCTTACTATCGATCGTGGAAACGGAAACAACTCACCCGTTCAAAGCGGCACCGTTTACCTCTACGATACGAAAGGAGGCTGAGTTGTGTGCACAGCAAAAGCGGGCGGGGAGGGAGGGTTCAGGAAACCAAATAAAGGAGCAGGGGGGTCTAGAAATGGGAGAAAGGGGTTGGGGGCACAAGTATCCCGGGCCGCGCGGGGAAGCGAGGGGGTTTTTCGAGCACGATAAGAGGACGAACTTTCGCGGCTAAGTCTCCCCCTGCCCGCCCACGAAAGTTGGGAACTTTGAAGAACCTCGGAGGGTTGGAGTCTGAGTAGGCGTGACTGATTCGTTTCATTCGGGGTGCTGGATTGGAAGGAGCTTTGGCGGCGTTGCCACTCCGTGCGGAAATTCCCGATTCCACCGTGAGGATAGTTGGAATTTATGCAGGAGAATCCGCAACGCCGGATTCGGTCTTTGGCGACCCGCAATCTTGAGTCAACTTGAATCGGGTCTTGGGTCTTGCGTCTGCATCTCTGGAGTTAACTTTTCCCCGGCTCCATCGGCGCTGCGGTAGAGTGAAAGAGGAAGGGGGGGGGGCTGTTCTGTGTGCACTGAAGTTTGGTCCCCTTATAACATACTGCAGACGTTGTAGCGAAAGGGTTTGAGCACTGGTCTATCAACGATTCTTAAGTTTTCGGCAAAGATAAGACGAATATCGACGGTGAAACTACCAAACCACGTATCTCGTTTGCGGTGTTTAAAAATCTACGCTCACATTTTATTTTTTTGAAGTAGACCAAATCAATATCATTCCTTGAAATTTTCACAGAATTTTCTCCGCACAGAGAGGAAAAATCACAGAAATTTTCAAGACTGGATGTTAAGTAGTTTTTCATTTAAAAAATAAAGTATGACAGGAAGTCTGCGACGTCGCAAACCGAGATACGTGGTTTGGTAGTTTCACCGTCGATATGTAAGTACTGTACTGTGCTAAGGAAAAACGCCGTATGAACGTTCGAGAATTACCAAATCCACCCGAATGAAACATGTATTTTTGAGGAAACGTATTTTTCCTTGAAATTTTCAGATGTTTTAGATTAAATCGTGAACAAAATTGACTGAAAAATTTGAGGAAAAATATTCACAATTTTCTCAGTAAATTAGGTTTTTCTTTAAAGAAATCCGGCAACGTCTGAAGGCTCATACGGTGTTCTTCCTGAGCACGGCAGTGTAGAGGCTCAATCATACACTGGAAAAAAAAACACATTGGATCTAGAGTCCAGACTCTTGAAAACATTGACAAGAAAAAGGACTCTTGATTCAATCGGATTTTTTGGGAAAAAGTAGTGTACATTTGTGGTTTTTGTGTTTTTCCCGATTATATGATCATACTGAAAAGAAAATCCGTTCGTGGAAGTCCACTTACTGGTTATACAGACATGTCGTCCGCGTTCCGGGCTCAGAGGCCGAAAGTTCCGGGTGTGTGCCAAAAGCACCCGGATGAGTCAAAGCTACAGCTTCGTCATGCGTGACTTGCAACGTTCATGAGGCTGGTGCCAAGATGAGACGTTGCTGCCTTTGATCTTCGACACCTCAATGCTATTCTTTATCGCGCGAAAGCAGCGTATACTTAGATACCACTATTTGAGCACGACAGAGCTCACATTGCATACCTCTTTAAATGAAGGGGCGCGTTATTGATGATACATCGAATCAAGGTATTTTTTTGCTAACTCTAACCTGCTATAAGGGAAGACTCCATTTAGTAAATTGGACGTATTTCTGCCAAACGGAACTATGTGCATTATGATGTGAGGCATGTTATGCACAATGTCTTACGAGTCTTAGGGCTCATGTCTTAGTGCACATAGTTCCGTTTGGCAGAAATACTCCGGTACATACCGAAGCACCTCGATGTCTGACCCAAACTTCGGCAGCTCGACCTCAAGTTTTCGGATGCGTGATCAGAAAACTTCAGAGATCCATATGCCCTCAACTTCGGGTCCCATGCACGAAGTTTTTTTCTCCGTGTGGCTGTATTTCATGTCATCATTAGCAGTGGCGTGGCGTGAATTGCGCTGTATCGATTGTTCTACCATTTAAACCTATGGTAAAGAATCGATTATCAAGGTGTTCGCTGCGAACACCCTGTTCATCGATCCTTTACCATAGGTTCAAACGGCATAACAATCGATATATCGCAAAACACGCCACGCCACTGATCATTAGAGCCCTCTCACAGGAGAGCGGGAAGCGGTGATCAAGTGAAATCCGACAATGACATATTTTTGAGCCTGCGTCATAAAACATAGCGGTTTCACCGGGGGGAAAAACTCGATTCGCGGAGGACTGAATCCCATTACGGAAAGAGTCTTACATACAGGAAGACGTCAAATCAGAAAGCGATTTCCTCCTAAGCCCAAGTCGGTCCCCTCGCCCTCATGCGTGTCGTTTCGAAACTTTCGTTCAAGTTTTCCGCAATCGTGTTGACTTTGTTTTCCCAACGGATATCCTCATTTTTCACTCACGCACCCTGTTGCTCAACAACCGCCGATGTCAAATCTACACGAATCGGAATTGGAGTCATACGTGCGAGGACATATCGATGGTGAGAGTCGGAGAAAGCGTATCTCAATAATTACGAATGCCTCGATATATCGGTTAATGTTTTATGAGGCCTCCAGAGTCAAAACCGGCAATCTCCCACACCCTGTCTAGAAATTATGTGGTCATGTTCATTTTCTGCGAGGAGCAACCGTACCTTCTAGCTGTTTTTAACATTTTCTAAATTTTCTCTAAAACTTAAACATGGAGGCTTTCTCGTCCTTTCATTTTTAAAATTATAATGATCGCGCAATTTTTAAACAAGGCAATGCTACCATGCTAAAGAAACGCCGCGTATGAGCCTTCAGTCGTTGCCAAGTTTCCTTTAATGAAAACCGAAATCGCTGGGATAAAAGTGAATATTATTTTCCAAAATTTTCAGACTGTTTGTGCGCAATTAAATCTAAAATATCTGAAAATTTCAAGGGAAAATATGCATACATTTCGTCAAAAATACATGTTTTATCGAAGGAATTTTGGCAACTCTCGAATGTTCATACGGTGTTTTTCCTCAGCACGGCAGAATGGAGTTTTCCGTTTTTGGTTCTAGACGCCTCATTGGGGGAAAAAAATCGATGGACGTTATCCCCCGGAACTTTCATAGAATATACATAAATTATCAACCACCTTTTTTATATTGATATCAAGGTAATGTCGACAAGTTTGTTTTTCTCACTACCCCCCCCCCCTCCTACTCCCCCTCTCCTTTTCAGTACATATAAAAAAGTACGTTTTCAGTAGTGTATGGATATGATTCACCGATTTACTCGCATGAGTCTGGCAGCAAAGCGGCCTTATTAGACCGCATCAAGAGTTTACGCATAGGATTCTCAGCTCCAAAAACACCTGATTAACTCCACCTTTCGTGACCGCACGGTTTTCGGTCGAGTCATCGATTTCGACTAATCGAGATTCGCTAGTTTTGGGTGTGCTAGTTATGAAGACATTGACCCTAGAGGTAACACTCGAACATCGAACGAAAGATTTGCCTTTAATAAAGTAGCATAATGAGCTGAAACATTCTAGTTTCTGCAACATAACCGATTCGCCATATTTTAACCTTAACGCAGGAATGCCCTCTTTAAAAACAGCTGAGACACTCACAGCTCATTGATTTTCACATCATTCAAGTGATCTTTATGGTAAATCATTCTTTGGACAGGTTAAAGAGGTCCGAGACATGGTATAATGGGCTCAGGTGTAAAATCACCAATTTGTAAAAATAAATAAATGGGGGGCAAAATTAGCTATCCATCCTACTAAAATCGGCTCAGATGTAGTGGCTGACACGTGAACATGGCAGGTGGAATTGCTCAAACATTTTATAGAGTAACTCTACAATTTGCCCATTTTGACCAGAATGATCTCTTTTGTCTCCATTTTGAGTGATTGAAATCAATTAGTTGTAAAAAACTATTTTCTCACATAACTCACGGATTTCAAACTTTCTCTGGAGCTTATCTATTTTTTTTCCTCCGCATAAAATATCTAAATTCGAAATGAAGATGCTCTATCGAAAATTAAATATTTTCTTTTTGCTCCCAACCACCAAAATTAAAGCTCTCGTGATTACATGATTATTTAAATCTTTCTGCATGTTTCTCATCAAAATAAAACACCATTGAGATCTAAAAAAGCAGAAATATTATTCATAGCAGGTATTGAAAAGTCATTATTCCACCATTAGCCTTGGGTAACTTCAGCAACTTTCCGCCTGAAGTACTCGTCTGTTCCACTGAAGTTTGTGCCTCCATGATGCATATGAATAATATTTCACGCAGTTTGAATACATTAACAGCAGAGTGGGAATAATACTTCAGACAGCACTTTCACTGGGCTATCGCGAACAGGCTTTGGTTCGAAATATAACTCATCGATCAACTGATGACATGTAACTAATGAAGCGTCTGATCCATTGGTATTAACAAATGAAACTATTGTTCCTGCCTAGCATGCTCCGAGTTCAATTAACTCTGTACTTACAATAAAATAGATTTGCTCAGAAATATACGTCAAATTCAAGACAATATACCTTTAATGAACATCGTTTTTGGCGCAGACATCACATAAATGCATCTCTCTAACCATGCATACTGTATACAACATAAAATAATACACTTTTTATAACATTATATTTTCAATGCTGAAATATAACTTCGATCATGAAATCCTACATATAGATGACTTTGATTGTTCTTCATTTTAGCGTTTGAAAACCCCCGTTTCTTTTAGAGATCCTGTATGTATATTTAGAAAATAGAATTTCAAAAAGACGCATGATCTCACAAATATAACTATGATAGAAAGTAAGGTGCGGCATTAAGGACGACATCTGCCGATGGGATCATGACGTCGTTTTCGGTTTAATCCTAGCTAATCGAGCGATGTAACTATACTAGTTCTTTAGTAGATAACTTTTCACGCTTTCAAGATTGATTTTTTTTTGGAGGGGGGGGGGGGGGCTACGCGGCGCAACGAAGGCGAACTGCAAGTGCGGATGACTTCTGTCGATAGAACTCGGTCCATTGGTTTCAACAAGCGAGCTTAATGTGTATTTTTCGAATACAACTATTCGTACTCTTTGGTATGTTTGTTGCACATGCGGCAAAGCTGAAGGCGAAGGCGATGATATCCAGCAACAGAATTACACATTCTTCATAGGTATTCAGTCTAAACAGACAGCGGGGTGACTACATGTTTTTAAATAGCTCAATTTGCTATCCGTGCTTCACGGGGAAGTCGATTCTTATCACTTCTCATAATTTTTTTTCTCTCTCCTTTTTTCTCATCTTTTTCCTTTTCTCTCATTTTAGCGTCATTGCAGCGATGGCGCCTGGTGTAGCTATTCCTTATAAACCACCCTTGACCTGGCCCTGAATCGATGTGTTTGATAAAGTACTTCACAGAGGAAGGGGTGTAGACGCACAGTGGATCAAGTCAATCAGAGAGGTCGGACATGAAATTTTTAACTAAAACTGCAAATTTTGATGTTTAAATTGCCTCATTGAAACAGAGGTCTTCTTCGGAAGTGCAACATTCTCTCTTGGGGAAAACAGCAGACACATTACTTTGTTTGCAGGTATCGGTGACAAATGGATATGGATTGGAGTTGTTTGCTCTAAGTAATTAAGTTTAACAAAATCGAGAAAGGGAGGAAAAAGAAGAAAGTTCAGGATTTTTCTCTTGTTTAAAAAAAGATTAAAAAATGGCACTACACGTGGTTCATAATACATGGATGTATCCCTGCCAAACGGAACTATATGCATTATGACGTGAGCCCTGTTAAGCATGTATTTTTATGGGTCTCAGGGTTCATATCTTAATGCACATAGTTCCGTTTGGCAGAAATACGTCAAATGCTACCTAATATTCCTCATATTTCATTTTGTCGGCAGAAAAGTAAGGAACATTCTGACTTATTGAAATTTCATGATCGTGTATTTGTATTCTTTCAAATCATTCAGGAAGGTAGTCAGTTGTTTCATTCTTTATCAAAAAAAAAAAAATAAATAAATAAATAAATAAAAAAATAATGGAACATGAGAAGTATACACAAAATACAGTACATTAAATACAGTTAGCCTGATCTGGTTAAATCTGTTCCAACAGTCGTCATTTTTGGCAAAAACAGTGACAAACCGCCGACAAAACGGAAATCATCCGAATAAGCCACCGCAGTCGTGACGCGAGTCTCGGTGGATTATTTTGACTTCTGCCTCGTCTCTAAATTCTAAAATTGGCAGATTAACCGCTAGAAAAACGGTGAAGTGATATCGAATAACCATAATAAGAAACAGTTTAATCCATGATTTAACCGCAAAAATTCACAGACCTACGTTCAAGCCGCGAATCCACGAATGAATCACCGAAATCCGCGGCGTTGTTAATTCAACAACGATAAACCGCATTAAGGGTGAATCTTTAGCGCAAATTTTAACGAGCAAATGTTATGAGATATCGAACACTCTTTGTTTAAATTCAGGCTTTAACGTTTATTTTTACAAGGGAAAAAAATAATCGTTATACCTACATCTTATAACACATTTTGACTGTTTATCATAATTCTATGATGTAAAACCATAAGAATAACGCCTAACGCATAACGCCTGAGACGCGAAGCGCTTCGGGAGTTGGACAACGAAGCGGTCAGGGAGCTTACTTCTTCTCAAGTGGATTACATTTTGCAATAAGGAACCACTATCTCTGGTTCTCCCATAAAACCACATATCTGCCTAGGGAAACCCATGGCATGTATGTTGTTTCTAAAATGGGCCAGAAACAGTGGTTCCTTATTGCAAAATGTAATCAAAGTAATCTCTTTCTAAAACGATAACCTCATGCAGGGACCGGCCGAATTCCTCGCTGTAGAGAGGTTCTCGATTTAGCGATTATGGAGTGAGACTACTGCAGTAATATGATTTGAAAATCTTGAATGAAAGGCTGCTGTATGCGAAAGCGAAATTTGCTCATTAGATTTTGGTCCAAGCAATCGACGAATTTTCGCGTTCGGATACTTATGACTTTGATGTAGATGTTTATAGTTCATGAATAGTTAAATTCATGAGTTTTTTTTAATAATTTTTTTATTTTAATTTTTTTCTTTAACAGACGGTGCTGAGAAGTGTTTCTGGATGTATTATACGCAAGGTTTTTGCGAAAAATGAAAAGCAACATGAGATCGAAATCTTACTTTTTGCCGATTCTAACCATCAGTTCTTTAAAAAAAAAAAAAAAAAAAAAAAAAAAAAAAAAAATTAAAAAAAAATTAAATACAAATAATCGGGGTCCTCTGAAAGTCTTGATGGAGATACGCATTTTCCAAATTTAGCTGTTGATATACACACTGGAAAAAAGTCGCTTGGATCCAGAGTCCAGTCTCTTAAAAATTTGACAAGAAAAAATACTCTTTATTCAAGTCGGATTTTTGCTTGAATCGAGAGCTAAGCCTCTTGAACTAAGCAGATTGAATCAAGAGTATTTTTTATTGTCAAATTTTTCAAGATGAGTCTAGAATCTAGATCTGACAGACTTTTTCCAGCGCAGATCGATCATACCGATACTCATTTCTCCCCGCTATGTGCACTACCACTGTCATGTTAGTATTAACGAATAAGACATTTTTTTTAAAAAAAAAAATACTATTTTAGGAAGATTGCTCACCTTCTTAAGAAATTCCTTCAAACGTCGCTGATCTATCACGTATAAGTGATAGAGAATTCACACTTGACACCTTCACTGATTTCACCAGCGAGTTCCACACTCGTATATAACTCCGTACACACTAATGCTGATTTTCGATGAGTTTACGTCACGGAACTATCCAATACCATTAACTTCAATTAAGCCAATAACATAAAGGTTTTTGAACGTATGCACTTCCAAGCACAGCTTATGTTGCAAACTCTCTTGATGGAATTTATGCTCAGATGAAACTGTCGCTAGTTTATGAAAAATTGAGTCTGCATGGTGGAAAAGATATAATTTTCGAGAGTGGAGGAAAATCACAGAGGCGAAATAAAATAAAATTAGGTCGGATACGGCCAAAATATAATAACAACGTATCCAAACTCAGCGGCAACTATTTAAACTTTTTACTTCGATAAATTACACTTTCTCATGAGAATGCCCCGAAATTGCAACAATTATTTTACCGACCTTATGTAATGTTGTAGTAAGACAGGCGCCCGAGGAGATAAGTTTATCTCTCATTAACCAAAATATTGCTCACCGCAGCAACTTTTCCAACACCTCGCGTTTAACCACTTTGATTCTCTAAGATATCAACCATTTAGTAGGTATCTCAAAAATTTAACCATCGATGACTTCAGCCAACTAACTGGAGCTCGGAAAACCGCGTCATTGATTCTGCTGCCTACGCATCACTTATGCATCCTCACCACTACGCGTGCACACACAGAAGAACCATTTACCGTTTCTAACACTGTATATTAATCGGGAAAACAATCTATGTACGCACTGAATTGGTGCACAAAACCCGGTTCTTTCTTTCAAAGACTCGTCTACATTTAAACTTGACCGGTTATAACGCACGAATATGAAAATATTTAAGTAAAAAAAAAGACTATTCCAATTGGTGATGAAGGGACGGTGCGACGATAGGGACAGCGCGTTGCATCCGAGGGCTTCGCGAGCGACTGGCGAGACGGTGCAGGGCGCGGCGCGGCGCGGGGCAGGCCGCGGGGATGCACTGCGATTGGCGCGCCGGGGCCCCGCCCCCCGGAGCCCATTGGCCGCCGCCCGGCGACCCTCCATGACTCCGAACCTGCTCATTCATGCAGAACTGTGTACACACGGATACAACGGGCGCCGTTGTCGAAATCGCTGTAGCCCGAGGTTTTTCGCTCCGATTGAGCGGTCAACCGTTATGTCGCGGTCGGCATGGGCATTGCGAATTTTCAAAGTTTACAAAATCAGCTCCTAACACTGTTTCCACAACGGAAGAACCTTCTACCGTTGTAGAAACAATTTAGTGACATTACATTTTAACGTCACAAATTTCCACTCGTAAATTGTATCAATGTTCGTATATGGTTCTGCCGTGATCAGGAAGAACGCCGTATGAGCCTTCAGACGTTGCCAAATTTCCTCCGACAAATCACGAATTTTCGTATAAATTTGTTAATACCTTTCTCCCGATTTTTCAGAGAATCTTGTTCGTAATTTGATGTGAAACTTGTGAAAATTTTAAGGAAAAATACTCATAACTTTCTTCAAAAATAGATATTTTTTGAGGAAATTTGGCAACGCCTGAAGGCTCATACGGCGTTCTTCCATAGCACACAGTATTGGGTTTTTTCTCTTTCTCTCTCCCCCTACCTCCCTCTCTTGAGAAATTGGATTCAGTGCTCATCATGCAAAACACCACATCCCAAAAGTGCTTTTATCAAATACGGTGCTAAAGTATACGTATTATCAGTGCGTTATACTATGTAATATATCCCTCTCACTTGGCTAGATTCTTTTTGACTATACCGTGTCAGAAAAGGATGTTGATACAGCAACAGATAAAAAACATGTACAATCATTGTCACGTTTTCGAAATTTCGATCAAGGCATATTTTTACAGGACAACATATCATAATATCTCCTAGAATTGTTCCTTGAAAATTTTTCAATGGCTCGAGAAAGGGCCCATCAAAAAAGTTGATTACAATTCTCATTTTTCTTTGATGCGAAAATTTGCAACGTTGCAATTGGCGGTTTGCATTTTTTGGAATCGAACATTGATATATTAATGGCATGAGACTAACTTTGACCTAAATTTATTCTCCTGGCCGGTGGACTAGGTTTTTTCTCAACGAATGACGCGACTAACGCTGATTTTGGATTTTTTACGAAAAGAATTTTGAATCGAGGCAATCCTAGCCGCACCGGGATTCATCGCTCCGAGTAACATATTGTATTATTATTATCTAATTTTGTAATATATTCTTCGCGTAAGGAAGGCTATGAATCAACAAAAATTTTAAAGGCGTTAAAGGTGTAAAATTCTAAAGGGTGATTTACTTGGCTCTGTAAAAAAGAATTATAACAGAACACGAGAGAAAATTAGGCAACGTCATAAATGCAGTTATAGGCTGAGCTCGGTCAAATCCGTCCAAATCTCATGGTGAAGAATTGATTATTTGGAAATCACGAATGTACCAAGTCCCCGCCCAAGCCCTCTGTCTTTCTAACCCTTCCAAAGGTTTCGCGACTTCTTCGCAAACTAAGGGTAGGTGAGGGGAGAGGGAGGTGAGACGGAGGCACCTTTTGAAGAGAGAGGGGGTACGACAAACCAAGTTGCAACTTTCTGTCGTCTCTCAACTTTATTCGCGAGTTGGGAACAAAGTTTCGGGCGGAGATCAAAGAGAGGTGAGAAAGTGCATCCGCGAAAACCTTGCTGACTAGTGGCGTGGCGTGCTTTGCGATATATCGATTGATCTTTCATTTAAACCAATGGAAAAGGATCGATAAACAGAGTGTTTGTAAGGAGCACCTTGATATTCGATTCATTACCATCACAGATTCAAATGAGGAACTATCGATAATCGATCGCCTAATCGCTAGAATCGATAATAACGCCTCGCCACAGCTCGCTGAGCATGCCACGTTGACTGCCTCTTAATTATTTTGGCTACGTTCCCGGGCTGGTAAAAATTTCATCTAGGCTCAGATTTTAACCATTGGGGACTAGCATTATTGGCTCGTTCATATCCCGGACCAAAAAATAAATTTGTTTTAAAAACGTTCCATTTCTAAGTTTAAGGAACCATTATTTTAAAGAAATTTTAGAGTAAAACTCGAACATTCTTTTTTCCCCTGTAATTTAGGTTTCTGATTTGTTGAAATACTTGGACATTCTCAGATCTGGAAAACCGCTTTTCAGTGATAAAGAAATTATTTTATTTTTTGTCAAACCATTTGATGCATAAGCTGGGGTTAAATAATCGACCCGAGGCTCCCTGCACGAGGTCAAGGGGTTGTATGGGACCGATTAGCTTTAGATATAGGTCTATAAAAACTCGTGAAAAAAGAATAAGACATCAAACTCGAAAAAAGGACACGAATCAAATGTTAGGAACTGTAGGTACTCTTAGAAATCTTAAACCGGGTCAAATCGATCAGACTATCTCTTCTCTATACTGGAAAAAAAAATACATTGGATCTTGAGTTCAGACTCTTGAAAACATTGGCAAGATAAAATAATCTTGATTCAATCAGATTTAAGCTTAAATCAAAAGGAAATCCGCTCAAATTAAGAGGCTTGGTTCTTGATTTAAGAAAAAATCCGATTGAATCAAGAGTATTTTATCTTGTCAATGTTTTTAAGAGTCTGGACTCTAGATCCAATGTGCTTTTTTTCCAGTGTAGGGTATTTATGATGCCGGTGTACATATGAGCTTTGAATATAGGTCTGCATATACATCCTAAAAAAGAATCAGACATCGAATTGAAAACAAATCAAGTCATAACACAGGAGAAGATAGGAGAGACGTATTCCACCCCTTCTTTAGACTTTCCTTCCGTTCGACACCTCATTAACAGTACAGAGCGGAGAGCGGAGCATTGCGAGTTCACGTGTCGCCCCATCGCGCCTTCAATTTCGCAGACGCAGCACGGACATCCATCAAGCACGAATAGTTGTATCTCTGCGCCGTCATCAACGCACGTCTTTTTTCTGCCTCTATTTCCATAATGTGTTTGATTCCGTTTGTCCTATTTGTATAGTGGTGCTTCAGGGGCTACGTTAGCAGCACAGCCGAAGATAGGATAGACTTGAACTGGCCCGTTTTTTAACTCCTCTCCCGAATCTGACACCGACAGACAGACACCTTACCAGCAACAAAGAGCGGAGCATTCCCAGTTCACGCCATGAACTACAGGGGAAAAAATTGACGTAATTTAAGCAAAGATAACAAGGTGGTAAAAAAGTGCTTTGTCTGTACTATTTTTGGTACAATGTACTAATTTGAGAACGCAAGGCTGAAAAATTAAAAAGATGTTTGATTAACTCCAATTTCAATGACAAATATAATTCTTTGATTAATCCATCGCTCCAGTAGGATACACTGGAAAAAAAATACATTGGATCTAGAATCCAGACTCCTGAAAACATTGACAAGAAAAAGGACTCTTGATTCAAGCAGATTTAAGCTTAAATCAAAAGGAAATCCGCTCAAATTAAGAAGCTTGGTTGTTGATTCAAGCTTAAATCTGATTGAATCAAGAGTATTTTTTCTTGTCGATGTTTTTAAGAGTCTGGATCCAATGTGTTTTTTTTTTCCAGTGCAGATAAGAATTACTTTTAGATCATTCATACGAAGATAATGCTCAATAGCATAACAACTGTAGATGAGAAAGCTTTAATGTACATCAAAATATTAGTAAATTAGGAAATATTTTCATTAGAATGTGCTTGTTATGCCCTCTGGGCCACCACCTGTCCCTGGAGGTTCCAATATGTGATTAATAAATATGAGATTTTCTCATAAAAAAAAAGAAAGGAAAAAAAAAAAAAAAAAAATCCAAATGTGTGTTCAAGCAGAAACATTCTAAAATTTGCCGTCAAGAAGATTTACTCCTTAATTAGGAGCCGGGCAATTTTAGAAAATTGACCACTCTGAACTTCGCAAGAACAAGGATTCTTTTTTCTCCATGCTGCGATAAAATCATGGTTTATGATGATGGTGCAGCGAAAGGGGTGACCTGTGACGGCGCACTTTTGCGGGTTGACGCTGGACGACCGCGGAAAGGCTGCAGCACAGGACAGGGACCGACACTCGATTTGAGCTGCGTCAAAGGCGTCAAATTAATCAAAGGCAAAAGAGTGCTGAAGGGTCGCGTCAAAAAGCCACAATAAACAAAGCGCTCGGCCCCCATCCCACCCGCCTGACTCAGTCGCTCAGGTCTTCACTGCCCATATCCTCCCCCGTCGAATTTATTATTATTGACCAACGATACCTCAAAATTTTGAAATTTTTCCGTCGTAACTACATTAAGGTCCAGGTACACGATCAAATTGAGCCATCAAATTGGGCCTCTCATTGGTCGCATCCTCACCTCAGGTCTTTTTCCACCAATCAGAGCTTCAGTGCGGTAGTGACACCTTTGTATACTTCCACCTTACTTTCACCAACCAGGATGATATCCATTTGCATTGGTTACTCAACGTGAAACTCGGATCAAAGGAAGGTGGAAGAAACCAACGGTGTCACTACCGCGATGGATGACGTAAGAAACCGGACTTTTCAAGGGGGGTGGGGATATCTAACGTAGGAAGTCGCTGTAGGAGTACTTCACGCATTGTGTCAAACAGTTAGCGCCTACCAGACTGCATGAATACTTCTTGCATTGCGCCAAACGTGGTGCAGTCGGTCAGTTGCACGGTCGTGGTGCGGTCGGTCGCATGTTAGCACCTACAAGACTACAGGAATACTTCACGCATTGCGCGCACGGCACGGTGCCTTCTTCTCCGGGACGATGGCTCAATTTGATCGTGTAACTGAACCTTTAGGATAAACGTTGTGAGATTTTTACTTGATCTGGATTCATTTTGATAGATTGAATGAATTTATACCTTGTTTTTTCCTGGATGTTTTTTTATGTAGGTACTATACCATAGGTGTGCTCGA